GCGCTAGTTATAAACACAATTATTATTCACTCTTTGTCACATTTATAAATAAACTAGTTTCATCCTTGTGAAACCGAAATGTGCTTGGGAAAACTTAAACTATAATTTCTTTGGAACAACATATTTCATATTAACTTCAACTTACCGACAAATCTGAGAGTATTTTCCGCTGAATACCGTAATCCTGTTTTAAAACAACGCCATCATACATTTTTCCCAAGCAGGATTCAGTTAGAGGAGAAACTCCTCTAACATATTTCCACAAAAGATACAGTACAGGCCACGAGTTTTCCGCAACGCTCGGTGGAAAAAACACCGTGCGAAACGCTCTGCGTTACACCGTGTACACGGTGTAGCACGGTGTGTGTGGATTTGAAATATACTGGTAGGCACACCGTGCCGCACCGTGTCTAGAAAAATCTCAGCTACTGCCCTCCGTGTCCCACCGTGTCCAGTAAAATTCGCTCCGTGTTGCACCGAGTGTCTAGAAAATTCTCCTCCAAGCTGCACCGTGTAAAAAGTATTACAGACAAAATCGTTTGTTTCTGATAAAAATTTGATAATAAATTTTAATAACAATTTATAACTGGGTTTATGAATATATAATAAACGTTTTTTACACGGCCTGGCCCACTTTGATTTTTACCAGTTATTGGACTTCGAATGGCACGCATGATATTGAGATTACATGTAGATATCTTTAAAAAAAGTTAATGATCATTTTTATTTGAATTAACTGTGTGTCTAGAAATTTATATTTTAGTAAAATTATTTATCCACGTTACAAAATCAAAATTATTAATTTTATTTTCAATGAATAATTTAATCGCAAGGTTCATGTAACAAAGGAAGACGAAATATCGTCGAACTGCAATCGTGCCACATTCACTGTATAGTACAGTATAAAATTAAATCAGAGCTGTATATTTATGTTCATGATTTTAACATGTACAGTACAAGTGTGCGATCCAAGCATTATTATGTATATTCCTTATTAAAATACTTTAATTTTGTTCATCTTGAATTTTTCTGAATGTGGATGCGAAAATCGTCAGCAGAAACACTAAATTAATGCAATAATTTCAAAGCTAATTTCCCGTAACAGTAAACATTATTTTCATAGAGTAATTACTGTATTTACTACGTTATGTTTTTAAAATCCTTTCAGTGTAAGTAATTAATTTATTGTAAAGTGTATAAAAAACAATACCAGAGAGAGAGAGAGAGAGAGACTCATACAACCCCCTTTTAACATAGTCTGTAATTTATTTTTTTTAATTCTTCGTTTTATTTAAGTTACGGAGGTCACAATTAAGTTAATCATTTTATAATTTTATTTAATTGCCACAGCTTTTGTTCATATTCAACCCATTTAATTCAATCAATTTGTTTTCTGTATATGCAGTACGCACAAAATTCCCGTGCAACACCTGCCAATCAAAATCCAATGACGCTAGATGACCTTGAAAGTCTGTTTACGCGGAAAGAATTTCTCTTGTGATTTGAAACATTCTGATGGTCAGTTCCGAGTTCACACCTGTTCAAAAAATATATTGGGTCTCTGCCGGTGGGCCAAGGGCGCCGTATGTTTATCACACCTTTCAAATTCTTTAGCTCTTACCACAGCAAGTGTATACATGTAACACAATCAACTGATATCATGCAAAATTCATCTTCCAGGTTTCACTACAACAACAATTATAAACTTGCATGTATTTGTTAATTTATTTATCCGTTTTCAGACACAAATAAAAATGTAATCCGTAGATTAAGATTTTAAAAAAAATAACATAAATTTGCAGACTTCTGAAGTTTTAAGCAGTTGATTCGTATCGCATTCTAGAAGGGGGGCATTTTTAAAAATCGCTAAATATGTTTCCTCAAACCGTTTTTTTTTTCTTTTCACACGATATATTTCAGAATGAAGTAATATTCATACTGAAGTTAGTACATTTCATTTGCCGAAAATTCAGCTGTGATTTTTGTATTCAGCGTGTTTACTAAGTTTATTACTATTTTAATTAATGAAATTTATCAGATTATCATCTCTGCCAGTTCAGTAGATTTTCGAGTTTGGCAGATGTGATATTTATCTCCATATTTTACATAATTACAGCTGGATTTTCAGTGTTAGTCTTACTGCAATAATCCTTATCTTAACCTGTCCAATGATTCGCCGAGTATCGATATCAAAGAGCAGAATTAATGTGCGAGTCTGATACATATATCTTTTTTAAATTTATTCTAGACACAGTACATGTACACATGTATATACATATTTCAATTCTTACAAAATAATTAATCCACATGTAGTATATAATCACGCATCTGATATGTAATACTTAGGGAAACACAATCTCGCAAAACGATTTAAAATCAAAATCAAAAGTAGAGTCAATCAAGTAATTCATTCATGAATGTGTGTTTCCTCTTAGTGTAATATAATAATAGTCTATTGAACTTTTTATGACTATTATAATTAGGATTTAACTTGAAACGTGATTGTATCTTTTTTTTTTTTGCTGGACACGAGTACGTTATTATAAAGTTTTAAGGCATCTTATAAAGTTTAATTATCTGTATGCGATAAATTACCAATTATATTAATTTATGGAAAAGTACAACAAATATTTCAAAAGACAGTTGATTTAATTGTAATAAATAAGGGCAATGAGAATGTTTAAAACATTTATCATTAGAACTGTGACACACCGTGTTACACGGTGCACAGAAACGCTGACTTCAAAGACACCGACAAGGTTCGAGCTCCACGCTAAAGCGTGGACTTGCGGTCCACGGTGCCCCGTGTTTTTTGCGGAAAACTCGTGGCCTGTACTGTATTAAATAAATCCTCATTAATAACCTGCACCAGGCTCTTTTATACACAAATTATGAATTCTGCCTCTGTCCACAGGTATTAAGAAGGGTAAATGTCAAACGTAAATTTTCGTACGTTGTTTGAACACGCTGACTCTTAAATAGTAATAAAGCAAAGTTATCTGAATTATTCGGATAAATTAGACTTTTGAAAAAATGATAAAAACATATTTCTTTTAAACTAGCATTCTGCAACTTTATATGGAGACTGAAATAGGGTGTAAAGTTTATGACACTCTCCCATTCATTACAGCTCAAATATGCAGTGACTGGTCGCCATTTTCAATTATGACGTCATACATTTGTAGTTCAGAGAAGTACACTACAATATTCTCTGGGAAGCCTTATCGTACCTGCGTCGATAGCAAAAAGTCTTCTCTAATACTTGATGTCCTTCTTCTTTGCGAATTGTTACGAAAACTACGTCTTTGAAATTATTTGGCAAACAAAGTTAAACAATTTTTCTTCATCTAAGACGAAATTTCTCTATCTAAGACGGACTCATACATGATCAGCAGCTTCTGTTTCTCACATTTTTTTTAGTTCTGCTTAGCCTTTTTCTTGATCGGGCCTATGATGTTCTCCTTGACTCTGGCTAGTGTAGAACACAATACATGGTAGAAAAAGAAATTACGCGGGTATGTTAAGGTTACAACCAAATATTCTTCATGCCTATGACATCATAGTAAGCCATATGACGTGAAGGTTAGAGATATTAATTTCTTAAAATCGATATCTAAGACTGATTTGAAGTCGTGAAAATGAATTAAAATATGCAGAGACACAATATAAACCGAATTTTGTCGTTTCTGGGTCTCTGTAGTTATCACAGGGGTTAAATACCAAACCCGTGACGTCATAATTATTGATCATGCAGTAGCAGGGTGGAAGTGAAACTTAACGATGATTCATGTAAACAAACACATGAAGTTTAAAAGCATTTAGAATGAATGTCATGTGTGATTCATGTGGGAATAAAGCGTATGAATAAGGTATGCTCATATATTTCTACAATTTCTTCGGAAAATTAAAACAGGCAGGGTGTTTACTTGTCGATCAGCCTTTCCTCTGTCGTTCTTAACAAAAAAGATGCAAAAGTTCAACACTACGCCGCATAATTTGAAGTTTAATTTTTTTTTCCATCGAAAGTTCTAATTCTATTGTTTTTGGAAAGTGCTGCTAGAATCGTATGATGTACGGAATTGATGCATTTTTTTCAATGTTATGAACAAAATGTAAAAATTTTGGGAAGGTTTCGTCCGGAAGTGTTGAATAATTATTTCTGTGATAGGACAGTAGAATTCTAGTAGCACTTTTCATGGTACAGGGATGTTTTTACATAACTCTTATAACAAATTGAAATTAATTATCTACAGGGTAGTGTTGAACTTTTCAATTTTTCGTTAAGGCATATTTTCTAATTGTAGACGTCACGTGGTGACGTCCAGGTGAAGTGCTTCCTGTAGTATAAGTCCCATTGAAGTCTATAGAATGCATAATGAAATCAAAAGTTTTATCCTTGACTTTTCCGATTTATTGGTATTACATAATTATAAAAAAAAGTGTTAAATCGCTGAATTCTGATCCATGTCCTGCCGTAATAGTATCGGACTCTTACATGTAAGGTAATAAGCAGGGTTTTTCAGACATTAATACCTTTACAATTTGATGTAATTTGAAAACACGAAGATAAAAGCTTGAAAGCGTATCCACCAATCAAAAATATACTTGAAATATCCTCATAATTGATTTTGCTTACGAGAGATATAGTGGATGATCATGAAATACTAAGACATGAGTTAATACTATTTGATGAAGCATATGGAGATAACGAACATTATTTATTATCAAAGTCATTAAAACAATGCAAAATAGGAGCAGAGCAATCATGATTTGATTACAACGTTTGACAGAATATTTTGTATATTGAATATTTCAATGATCAGACTAGATCGATATCAGTGAAAGTCAACATTTATATTTAAATAGGGTCAGGACAGAGTATTTCGACTGAATTCACTTCCTAAGAGTCCGTTTCTTTCAACAATTTTTGCATATAATGAGTTTTTTTTTTGTATTTGTAGCTTCAGATGCCCAACAAACGATCTAAATGTCTTTAAGGACATGTGTTGCCAATCTTTGCCCCTCCTTCAATATTCACATCAATAAGTATGAATTTCCTCTTCAGTTTGTCGTGAATTTTCAAGGGACAAGAATCAAGGAAGGAAATGTTTCCATTCAATTGTTAGTTTAACTAACAAATCAAGAGAGACGAAGATACATGACATGGATTTATATTTCAAGTTTTCATTTGTGGTAGTTTTCCAGGTTGCTTCCAAAAAAGGACCTTGTGATAACAGGTACACGGGAAAATAGGAATGTTTAAACTATTTATTCATAAAGATTTTCAATAGTATTATCCCCCTGATAATTAAATCATAATTCTTGTTAATTTCAGAATTCATGGCTGTTGTTCAGAGACCATATGGAACGAAACATTACAAAAATGTACAGGTAAGAAGGGTTTGGTAGGGGAATTAACTGTTTTATTCTGAGGATATTGTTGAAGTGTCAAATGGAATTTTAGATTTTAAAAAAAATACATTATTTGCAAGAATGGGTAATAATTTTCAGTAATAGCTATTTTCATAGAAATTGATTTTTGGTGTAAACTTTATCTTGATGTCAATCAGAAGGATTGAAATATTTCAAGGCCGGTTGATTTTAGTTATATTTTTCTCTGGTGTATTGTATATACCATGAAGGTTTATGACTGTTTATACATGCATCTGCATATGCTATTTATTTAAGATTTTACCAATCATTTAACAATGCCTTCTTACAACCACTCTGTAAGTCTACTATGTTCTAAGTTACATTTGTTTGTGGTAAGCATCATTAGTAAATGTTTTATTTATTTTTGCTTAATGAAATGATTACTGATGTAGTAGGATCAGTGTATGTACTAAGGTTCACAAAGGAGGAAAATATTTATAAAGGTGGCGATGTTGCTGCGAAAACTAATCTTTTGCTGAAAGGAGGGGGAGGGGCAGTAAATATTACAAGCATATGTATTCTGTAACAGATTTGATATATGTAGATAAAAATAGTGAAGAAATCATCGATAGATTTATTTTATTTTCAGTTGAATTACATTAGTAAAACATACACGTACACTTAATTATGCACCAGAAACTTTGTAATCTTTCAGGTTGCGGACCAGGCTTTATTGGGGAATTCTGCAATGTGACATGTGAATATCCTGACTACGGAATGGGTTGTCAGATGATGTGCCACCCTAATCAGAGTAAATCTGATTATGATTTCAGAACAGGATGTTCTACATATGACGGTATTGAAATAATCCTTCTATAAACGTCCATGAAATTATTTCTTTGATTTTTTAAGGACCAATTTAGACTCTTTGCTTTAAACATTGTTTACCACAGATCCAACAATTGGACAAACGACTAAAGCAAATTTGGTTAGAAAGGAAACAACTCCTCTCGGCGTTATTTTTAATCCCAAAAATATGAACTTTTCCGCAAACAATACGACGCCACTGCAGAGGTCATTTCCTGGACTGAAAATATCTATCTATGTTTTACTTGCTGTATTTCTTGTCACGCTTTTTTTCTACTTCATAATTCGAAAATGCGTCAATACAAATGAACAAGAGGAGGAACACTTCAGAGAGGAAAATAACCATTATGAAGATGTTCAAGACATTAAAATAAATTCTAGTATGTAAATTTTACGTCACTCCATTTTTATTTATGAAATGTTATATTTGATGTGCCTGTTCTTCCTTCATTGTTATTTGTAATAACGGTTTGAAATGCGACTTATATCTACTTAAAACTATTAAAACCACGTTCCTAGATGATAAAAATACTTTACATACAAGTATAAGATTTTACTCAAATTTTGATGTTATTTTGCCTATACATAGCATTTATCAACAAAACATACACACCCTTAACGTTGGAAGGAAATTAAAATGGGCAGCTTAATTGAAAGGAAAAAAATCAAACCTGAAAAAAATGATAAGCAAAAAAAGAAAAAAAAGAAAATGTGTCCATTGGCGTAACCCTAAATGCCTATCTTGTGAGTGGGGAGGCTAAAATTGAACTTTTTTCAGTCCCAAATTTTCTTCCACCGCTACAAACATATTACCCTTCTTTGATTACACTTCAACGTGTCTGTTGAAAGTGGGGCTAGGAGTGGGCTTTACCTACGCACAATGTCCAAGCCTCTCCCAGTCCTGACGCCTAAGTCATATCATGAAGGAAAAAATGTATATTACATATTGTTATTAGCGTCGACAAAATATTTTCACTTATTTTTCTAAATGTAGGGAATATATATCCTAATTTGGTATTTGCGACCGTTTATTTAACGGTCGCAAACTGAGTTTACCGGCGATGCGTAAGGGGAGTCGGTCAAAAGGGTGTTTGCGACAGTCACCCTTAAATAATTATTAACGGTCGGAAGTACTAAATTAGAAGATACTTTTTCCTATTCTAATGCAATATATGCATTTTGTTTGATCTTTACTTCTTTGAAACTTTGTTGAGTTTTGTTACATAAAATACGTCAGAGAGCATGGAATTTTTGCGTCACTCTATTATGACGTCACAATTAAAAACTTTAACTCTCGTTTTATTGCTTCAAAAATTAGTGCATTATCCAATCAAAATGTGTTTTACAAACAATTGTATAAGAATTTGGTATATCACATTTCACTCAAATTATGCAGTTATCTGTCCTAAAGATGTATGTACATTTATTGCATGTAGATGTTTAATTGTAATAATTATTAAGTTTATGGCCCAAACTCTAATCGTTTCTTTATATGAAGCAACGCTATTCCATTGCTATAATATTTCATTATTAAAGAGTTGTGTTGCGTCTTATATTTTGTGAGTAAAAAATAAAAATGTCATAGTGCGAAAAATTGAGGTATTTTCCGAGAAATACTAAGGGTCCACTAGCATGAAAAGTAGGTCATTGACCTAGTTACTCGAAATTAAAATTTAGCGCAAGAATCATAGTTGTACAATATGCCATAGGTGGCTTTTCGTTCTTATCAGTGGAATTTTTATTCTTCTGAGTAAATGTACATGTATACCTAAATGAACATTGATACCAAAGAATTAAAATTATTCTCAGTAATACATGTAAATATTCAACAATCCACTTCATAAGTTTAACTGATACTGTTCAGTTTGTATGTACTCATTTTAATATATTCTGTATTTCAATAGCTACCCCTCCATCCATTTTTCCTTCTGAAAGTTATTATTCAATTACATGTCCATGTATATGTTTTAAACTGACATAACTTCTAATCATGAAAATTAAAGATTTATAGAAGTAGTTAGTTGTTTTAATGCTTACGTTTAGTTAAGTGTTGCTTCTGGTCATTTTGTACAAAACAAAATTAAAAAAGGTATCAATAAGGTTTGAAAACAATCAAGTAAAACTATAGTAAAATTCGTCTACTCTGGCTGGTTCCAACGAAATTGGCTGGAAAAAACAATTTCCGGATGAAACAAGAACACCTAAAATAATCGAAATGATTATTGCTGAAATGGACTTGAAGTGAATACAGTTAAAGAAAAGATAAATTAACAACATACGGATTAAACAACTTTCATTCTACTAAGGGTAATTGATAGAATTTAAACATATTTAAAAAAATATAAAACAAGTAAAACTTTACAGTGTCTTGGTGATTTAATTATGTAAACCGTGTTGGATATGGGAAATTAGGTAAACATGCATGCTTGGTCATCACATGGAGCTAAAATGAGTAATACTGTTTTGTTATCGAGCCTTCCTAATCTTTGGGTATTGGTTTTTAAGTGATTAAATCAGGAAAAAATAAAAGGTGATACTATCCTAAAAATAGTGCGAGTGAAAATAATTGCAAGAGATTGGAAAAATTAAATTAAAAATGTGACGACGTCAAAGCGTTCAAACATTCTTGCAAAATAATTTATCATCATACGCGGATTTGGTACGAAAAAAAACATCTCAATATGTTTATTTAATTGGACGATCGTTATGATAATTCTACTTTTGATACTTTACTCATTTAGGCATTGTAGTGTATTTGGGATTGCTCACAATTGCACATTTCAATAATCATTTAATTTTCAAGCACATAAACCAAAACTGCGACATCTTTCATTATTTGTAGTCCTTAAATATGATGACATGTACGTACGTACATTATTTCTTTCAGTGAAATCATTTTATTTTGAATTTAAAGAATAGTGTGTTTAGATACACGAACTTATTTTCTTGTGATATGACTTCATTTTAAATTAAAGAAAAATGCTCACTGATACATATATTAGGTCTTGATTGAAATACCGATCCACTCTCACTTTCATAATATTAACATTGGATGTAACCAATATCAGTTTTAATGATATTAAAACCAGCAGTCCTAGGTAACGTTTGTTGCCTTTTTCCAAAGATGTCCAAAAGAGCACGTTTAGATGATAAACTTTATGCCTGCAATGCGTATAGATGTAAGGCTATAAAGGGATACATCAGGTAAAAACATGATGTGGAATTTTCCATATTATTCCTAGAATTTGAATCGAACAACTGGTATTGAAATTCAATGAGAGTTAACGCATTATTTGTAATGCACACAGAACTTTTAAAAAATAAACATTAATTATGGATATGACATATCGATGAAACATATACAAAAATGTAGAGATAACGAACAGTATTCTAGATCAAAAGTCCATAAAACAATACAAAATACAAGCAGAGCAAGCACGGACCTCCAAAGCAAAGGAGATGTTATGGAGGAGTAAGCACTCCCCGCCGAACGGTCAAACCCGCCTTGTGCTCCTTGTCTTGATTGGGAATTAACGGGAAAATTTGTCGTCAATTCAGTGTATAAATGGAAAAAGAATCAATGTTAGAATCGTCAGTCAGCATCGTAATGACTCAATGATAAATTATATCGGCTGACAAGGTTATTGTATCGACCATAGATCTTACGAAATGATGACTTTAAACAAACCTGCTTAAATTCTTGTCTCTTCAATTTGTTTGTCATTAACTTCTCTCGTTGTAGAAATTGTTCATACGTAGATCATGCACTTGCGTATCGAATTTTTTAAGAAACATGAACTCCGTATGCAGATAAAGAAGGTGTTTTGCTGCATAAGTAAGAGAAGTTGACGATAGAAAAAGTCGGAGTCATCATGTTTATCTTATAGCTTGGTTGCTAGATTACCCTTAAGTAAAATGTTTAAATATGTACGAGGTGTGTCAGACTTTATTGTATCATTTATCTGAAGCCCACCCGGATATATCGTATGGAAACAAAAATGGAAATTGCAAAAATGGTTGTTAATTGAGAGTACGTCGTCGATATATCTAAATGTCGATATAAAGGCCATAGCAGGTGTTTCCTTCTTTTCATGCATATGAATACAAAAATAGGTCAGCTACATGTATTACCGGGGGGCAATCGGTATCCATGGGAAATATCAAGTTTGTTCATTTGTTGGACTTGTTATTAAAATATATGAGTAACCTTTTATATTTATTTTAAATTATGTCAGCGATTAAAATGTTTTTGAGGATATGGAATTTGATTTGATACCAGGAAGATGAAAAAGAAAAAAAAATGAAAATCTGTTGATATTATAGTATTCTTAAGCTGACACCTGTCCGTGTATATAGAAAACTTGTGTTTGCTTTTAAAGTTATGAAAAGAAGTACACTAGGATGTTTAATGCTTTAAGCTTTGTTAGCCAAGATAAGTTCAAGGGAAAGATAAGTAGAATTATAATCACAATTGACCTTTAATATCACAAAAGCACGAATTGATAAATTAAAGTTCCAATGTAATTTTACGAAATCAGTGGTCTAACTATGTAATTCTCTTTTAAATCAGCATTTCTACAAGGGTTTCTTGTATAAAGGGAATTTTAAATAATTGCTCTTACATGTAGGTCTTCATTTTGAACAATACTGAAATCATCAGTAATGGCGAGTTGAAAGCAAATGAGCAGGAATACATAAGAGTATTATGGTTTGTATATTCATTATATAGACACTATGAGAACTGTTTATTATTTAAAAAGTTTGGATGCAACAATTTGGAATTATCTGTAGATTTTTTTGTTTTTAAATATACCTAACTTTACTATGAGCTCCACACACATGATCAATGCAAAAGAATCAAGGCGGATTTGACCGAATAATTAATAAAATATAAATAATAATGTTTTGGGGAGTGATGGGTTCTAAGTCAGGAACCCATTCTGTATGCAATATTCGCTAATAAAACCAAGGTATAAAATCATAATAAAATATCAGCATATTCTAAGAAATATAAGGATATAAGGATAGCAATACAATCCTCAAAGAAATGTTTCATTTAAACAGATTAAAAGTCTGATTGATATGCTACTCTCCTAACTAATTTAATAATCTGTATAACAGATGTGCAAATAGGCTCTAGAAGATGGCATATTTTTAGCAAATTAATATACTTTCAAAATCTTAGAACTCGTATATCTCACACCGCCGAAACACTGGATTAGTGTCGAGTCAAGGGATTTGAGGGAAGTGGCTGATGAGAGACACTTTTTTTTGAATCGGAGTTGCATCATAGGTAGTTCAGAGTTTAGTTGGTCAGCATTGTCTCTCAGAATGCACTCTCCAGTCATGCTGGTTTTAGCAGATACATGCCTTCTCAAATACTTAGGC